TCATAATTTGAAGCAAAAACCTGAAGGGGCAGCCCAAAAGTGGGAAACTCTGAAACCTATATGGAAGTAAGGGCATAGGAGTATATAAAATTTTAAAAAATCAAATTTAAAAAAAGGGCAGCATTTCCCCCCTTTTTCTCAATATTTATGAATTATAATTTTTGGCTGGAGGCAATCCCCAAAAGTGGGAAAAAGTTAGGCTTTGGTGGGAAAGTGTCAGGTTGGAGTGGGAATGTGTCAGGGTTTGGTGGGAATGGTTCAGGTTGGAGTGGGAAAGGGTCAGGGTGGAGCAGGAATTGGTAGAACAACACCATATACCTGCACCAAAAGTGGGAGACCATGGTGGAAGAATGGTGTAGGGAAGTTGTGGGAAAGTGTTAGGAAAAAGGTAGGTGGTAACACATGGGTGGTGCCCAAAAGTGGGAAAATGGGACTCAGTGGAGTGGTCACCCAGCTGAGGACATGAGGAGGGTGAAAGACCCTACTTTGAAGACTAAGAAGAAGGGCAAAGACAAGGGCAAGGGCAAGTCTATTTGGGATGATGATGACCATCAGAGCTTCTGGCCTAGTGGAAGCAGCAGCTCACAACATGCAGCACCCAAAGGGTATGATGCTTTCCAGGCAGTGTGATGGGGGATGACTTGATATTTGTTCTTCAATAGATACACAACAGTTTTGAAAGTACCACTTGCAGTAGCTGTAATGTAGTTGTGCATAACATAGTGAGCCACTGACTGCCAGTGGTTGAATGTGCACAACTGCCTTCAGGAAAGTTGGGGCCCTTGGGCTGGAAAAGGCTGGGGCTACCCAATGGTGGCACCTTGGGGTTATGAACCTAGTCTGCGTTTCAAGCACCTCACTGGGTCCAAGGCTCACCTGTTTTGTGTGACACCATGCATTCAAAAACCTTGATGCCACCATGGCAATTAAATACTGATAACTGATAATGGTTGGCAATTGGCTGGGTGAGTATGTAGCTTCAGCCAGTTGGGTGAACTACTGAGGAGATGCCACCATGGGCAGGAGCTGGCATGTGGATGGCCAAAGGCAAGGGTATGATGGCAAAGGGATGCACTGATACTTTGACACAACTCAGGGCATGTTGGTGGTTTTGTGTATATTAATTTGTATAGAGTTATATATTATATATGGTCAACCAGCACTTAGATGTTTGTAATTAAATTACATTGTTGTGCCTGCTAATAATTAGTAACTAGATTCAATGTGGTGTTCATTGGCCTGTTAAAAGAAGCTGGGGCTTGGTTTATCTAAGGCCAATGCTGCTGCTGTTGACAATGATGATGGGCCTCGCCCTCCACATGAGAATCCTCCTGGGAAGAAGAGGAAGACCATGGCTGATGGTGCAAACAATGAGGACAAGAAGCACAAGTCTGGGCATGCTGATGGACCTAACTTTGACAACCTGCATTCAACTGGGGATGCAGCCCAGCTGTGTCCATTAAGGTTTTGCATTGCATGATTGATTTCATGGACAGCATGACCACAAATGGTATTCTTAAAGCAACCAAGACTTGGTGGGGTTACTCAGTATAGAGTCAGGGGGAGTGCCTGACTGAGGTAGACAAGAAGTCATTGTCATTGGGTTCTTGGGAAATGTCTCCCCAGGAAGCTGCATCTGATCCAGAGTCAGAGTCTGAGAATCTTTCTCCTCAGCAGCCACCAGAAGAAGATAATGATATCCTGGTGGCTGACAAGGCATTCATTGACAGTGAGGTGAACCTGTTGAACAAGGCAGAGGAGGAATTCAGGCTCAGGATGTGGGAGCTGACACCCATTGAGAAGACTGCCCTGAAGCAAAGGCATCTTAGATTGAATGAATTGAATTTGTGGTGTGTGTATAATGTTATATATTTCATTTGTATTGGGTTTTAACTTAATTTTGTAATTTTTGTAAAGGCCAGCCACCCAGTGCCAAAACATGCCCAGCTCAGGTTCAGTGAGGTGAAGCACAAAAACATGTTGGCCAGGCTGTTGAAGAGGGTGAACTGCATCAGGGCTTGCCAAACAGGCCAGTTACTTTGCACATTGTGCACTCACATATTTCACAACTCTTTATATAAATGGCATTTTATTTGCATGTGTTTGTCACCTGTTTATCACCTCATTGCACCCTTGGCTTTGGCTCCCTGACAGCTTTGCAGCTGAGCATGCTGGAAAGGGGAGCAGATCCTTTGCCTGGCCACAAGTGTCCCCTCCTTTCTGTGGATGGCACCCTTTGCAGGATCCTCTACATGTGCCACTTGGAAGCTAGGCTCACACCATGGCAGCTTTTTTATTACAAAGCAACACATGACATGCAAGACTTTAAAAGTTTAATCCAACCTGGCACACATTGATCAGTTGGGGCTTGGGGCATGTTTCACTCAGCTCTCAACTCAGGAGAGCTGCATCCCCATGGAGAAGTCCTGCAGGTGCCTGCCTGCTACCAGCTTCATGTACAAGGGGTGTGGCTGCCAAGGCAAGACCTGGCTGACAAGCAAGGAGTCCTACCTCAAGCATCGATGTGCAGTTCACTCTTTGTGCTTGAGGTGTGGTGGGAGGCTTGCAATGGCTTCAGCAATGTTGTTGTTTTTTGCAGTGAGGGGCTCCAGGCCTGCTGACTTTGTACAAAGGTTTGCATGGTGATGTGGGTGTTTTGACTGACTGAGTGGACATTTGAGGCTATGCAAAAGAGCAGCTGAAGCTGAGCCAAGCAAGGTGGATCCTCATGCTTTGTTGTGCAGATGCAATATGGTGGCCTTGCATGGCAATGGATGGGCTCACTGATGGCTAGGAAACTTGCTTGAGACAGTGTGGCACTGTTTGTAAGTTCAATGGCAGTTCTGTTAGACTGTAGTGATTGAATGGCAATGGCAAGAAAATGCTTTGAACTTGGATTGTCACCAGGTGACCTGCATATGAAGAGGGTATGGATGTGGCACATTGAGCATGGCTTCTCCTTGGGCTTTCTGGTTGGAAAGTGTTCCTTGTCAGGCTACTGAGTAACTAGTGATGATTAACATTGGGCACAGAAGTGTTTTTGTGTGGAGCTTGAGTGCTCATGAAATGTGGCTTTCAAACAGCAGTGGCATCCAAGCAAGGCTTTTTGGACCATGGAATGGATGGTCCTGGCAATGGATGAGGCCTGGGGGACTTAAATGCAATGCAGCTGCAGCCAGTGGCTGGGCATTGTGACTGTGGCAGACTGCCAGTGGAGAGAGCTTTATTAATTGTGCCTGTGGCTCAAATTTAATTTGGCACAGTGTGCCAGACTCAGTGGTAAAGTGCCTCAGAAGGCATCCACTCACTTTGCCTTTGTGCCCTGCCCACCCTACCCTAGGGGCTTTTCTTTGGTTAGGTCAGCAATGGCCTTGGTACTGGTAAGAGGAGCAGATGGTAGTGAAGCTGGTGCACAACAACAGGAGAAGGTGCCAGGTGAATGGGATGCATTCAAAATGCCCTTTGGTGTGGCAACTCTGGAGTCCTTCCAGCTGAGGGCCTATTTAAACAAGGTCCAAGAAGGAGAGGCTCAGAAGGTTGAGTGGCTCTGGGGCAGAGTCCATGACTATTGCAAAGTGCAACAGCAACCTGGAAGAATGCTGGCCTTGAACCTTGAAAGCATCAAGGCTGAACTCAAAGCCCTGCTGGTTCCTGAAACAGAAGTGCACTACAGAGGGCAACTCATCCTGCAGAACCCAGA